CTTGTATCAATGTACCATTGACCCACCCGCAGCGCACTCACAACACGCCCAGCCCAGGCGCCTCGGGTGACCCCCACTATGTCCAGCTTGCGCGTTCACAGCAGATGCCCTCGGGATCACCCATGGGGACACCCAGGTGACTACGGCTGTATGCGAGGATGACGTGGCACCCATCATGTGACCTAAGCCGCATGTATATAAACATACCTGAAGTGGGAACCGAAGAAGTAGCCTTCTTCTCACCCTTTTCCACTTCAGGTAAGTAACATAGTATTCCCTTTTAATAATAATAACACCCTTTTCCACTTCAGTCTAAGTGGCCAGGGACTGCCTCCTGAGCCGGGCCCGCCAGTATGCATGCCCGCTCCGCACCCCGCAAAACTTCCAGTGTCGGGCGTCTCACCCGGGCCTCCTCTACCCCGGATGTGTCCCTGACAGTAAGGAGATGAGATAAAACAAGGGCAAGTATATACACTTGCCTACTGTGGGTAAGGAGATGAGAAGGAAGCTAACTTCTCATCTTCCCACAGTGGCCACAATATCAGCAAAACTTCCGGGGATACCCGGAAGTCACATGAAGGGGTAGAAACCGGGTCCGGAGCATGCAGCGCGCGGAGCGTGCGTGCATGTGGGAAGCGCAGTGGGTGGAAGTGGGTCCAGACGCGGGTCCAGGTCCGGGCTAGTCAGGGTGTGCCCTGACACAAGTCCATCAGCTTGTTCTCCTTTGACTCTCCAGCCATCATCGCTGACTCCATCTCCGACTTCCATTTTGAGTCCCACACCAATCCCGCACCAACTTCGCCTCCACTTGAGGCATTTTGATCTTTCCATGTTGCTGTTTGCAGCGCTCCAACTTTGTCTCCTTGTGGGACACCCTCTGCCATACCCTCTGCTGATTCCGGACTCGGTGCCACATGCGCTGACTGGATACCAAAGCAAGGTACCGTGCCCTTGTCCTTTTATGGACACCAAGACCCTGCCGAGATGTCGGCAGCATTCATCTCACACCTTCTCCTCTCCCAACTCTGGTGCTGTGCTGCAGCTGGCATTCCTGACACCACCACTCTTAGGCCTTCAAGGGTTCAGGCCCTAAGAGGGGGATACTGTCACGGCCGTGCATTCCAGCCCGTGTCAGGGCACGTCTTCGGGTTGCTAGCATAAGTAGCGCAGTGCCACATGGCCCATATCCCCATCAGGTTCTTCTTCTTTTCCGCTTCTGATCTTCTATTTGATCTGGTCACACGGTATCGGTTATGATGCTGTGTGATCTTCTATCATCTTTGATCCGCTTCTACCGGTTATTAGTTAGTTGGCTAGTTACCATCTCTACTGTGTACATATATATCCTTTGCTGGCATGGGCATGTCCCCCAGCTTTGCTATCAACTTGGTTTTGGGGGCATCCTTTGTTGCAAGCATGCATGACCCCGACAGCCTGTTCCCCACCCATCCCGATGCCGCCCAAGCCCGTTACTGCTATGCAAGCGTGAGCACGAGCCCCAACCTCAGCCCTATCCTCCCTGAGGACTCCCTGCTCCCTCCCCTGCTTGCCCCTAGGCTCCCCTACACTTGGCCAACTCCCCCACTGCTGCACCAACTCCCCCACTGCTGCACCAACCTCCCCACCCTGAGTCCGCCTCTGGCACCGTGCCCAGCGCGACTCCCCTACCCCACCCACTTGGCCCCTACAGGGCCGCTATCATCCCTGCGCCCAACTCTGGCCCAACTCCAAGTCCAGCGCCGCTATGATACCATCGCCGCTATCGTGGCCCTATGCTCTTTCCTTTATTTATCTGTTATTGATTGTTTTGACCCTCAGTCATTGCCAGCTGCTATGCAGCCAACCCCGTTCCTTATTCTTGTTTGCATCCGGACCCTTCGGCCTCCGGCCCGGGTCCGCTTCCATTCATTTCTTCCTCCTATATATATCCTGTATGTGTCACGACCATGCATCCCAGCCTGTTAGCCGCCCATCCCAATGCCGCCCAAGCCTATTCCTGCTGTGCGAGTGCAAGCACAAGCCCTGACCTCAGCCCTATCCTCCCTGCCCACTCCCTGCTCACTCCCCCGCTTGCCCCTAGGCTCCCCTGCACCTGGCCGACTTCCCCACAGCCACACCAACCTTCCCACCCTGAGTCCGCCTCCGGCACCGTGCCCAGCGTGACTCCTCTACCTCGCCCACTTGGCCCCTACAGGGCTGCTACCATCCCCGCGCCCGACTCTGGCCCAACTCCGAGTCCAGCACTGCTATGATACCATCACCGCTATTGCGGCCCTACACTCTTTCCTTTATTTATCTGTTATTGTTTGTTTGACCCTCGGTCATTGCCGGCCACTGTGCAGCCAACCCCGTTCCTTGTTCCCTTTTGCTTCCGGACCCTTCGGCCTTCAGCCTGGGTCCGCTCCCATTCATTCTTTCTCCTTATATATATCCTGTATGATACTTTATTGTACTTTAGCTCTAATATCGATGTGACCACGACCCTAAGTCCTGACCCCAACAAGGCAACGAGTCCGAAATGAGGGCCAAGAGACAGCTAGGGGGCACAGCACTCCCTTTAGAGTTGCTGAGGCCAAATGCCCTACCCTCAGGCCTTGTCTGAGGCATCGTGGCCATCGCAGCCAATAGCGGCCCGCATCGGTGACCTTCGGTGCCGACCCCGGATCAGTGTCTAACAGTATGATACTTTATTGTACCTTAGCTCTAATATCTATGTGACCATGACCCCTAAGTCCTGACCCCAACAAGGCAACCCCAGTGAGTCCGAAATGAGGGCCAATGTTATGGAAATGGGACATTTCCCATTTTAGACTCTTATGGGTTCTGTATCACATGATTTGTATAGTAATTGAAGTTAACCAATCAATAATCAACAAAAACCCGCTGCCACACTACCTGTTCAACTACATGTTAAACCATCTGTGAAACAACCTGTAAACCCTTATGTCCAACCCCCTTCCCTATTCCTGTGCCAGAACGGATGAAAATGGGCACCTCCGGCCCCATTTTTGTAACAGCCAAGAGACAGCTAGGGGGCACAGCACTCCCTTTAGAGTTGCTGAGGCCAAATGCCCTACCCCTGGGCCTTTTTCCCGGCATCATGGCCATCACGGCCTATAGCGGCCTGCATTGGCAACCTTCGGTGCCGACTCCGGATCAGTGTCTAACACACCCTCTCAGTTGTACACGACATTGAGGCCGTGCTCAACCACAAACTAGTGGCCACCTCACTCACCTTTGACATCACCGGTTTCTTTGACTTCATCTCCCATCCCCACCTCCTCAACACACTGTGTGACAAGCAAATCCCCCTCCCCATTGTGAAATGGGTGGCATCCTTCCTAAGTGACCGCCGCACAGCGCTAATCCTAGATGGCATCCAAGATGAGATGAAACCCACACTAACTGGCATCCCCCAAGGCAGCTGTGTCTCACCCGTCCTAGCAGCCTATTTCTCAGCACCCCTGATGAATGCTATCAACTCAGCCACCAAAGTAGAAAACCTCCCAGCACAAACCAAAAACTCAATACTATCAGACTCCCCAAAACAAACTAACACAATTCTTTATGTAGATGATGGCAACATTCTCATCATCTCTAAGACTATTGAAACCAACATCAAATTGGCAAGATACTCGTACTTAGCCACAGAGAACTGGGTTAGAGACAGAGGCTTGTCGTTAGACACACTCAAAACAGGGCTCATCCATTTCATGCACTCCAGACAAACCCATCTTGACCTCAACATACCAGCACGCAACAATCGCCCAAGCTTCACCATAAAACACTCAAAGGAGATCAAATGGCTCGGTATTACAACACCAAGCTATCATTCACCCCACATGTGCATAAAGTATGTGCCAAAGCCACAAAAGCAGCCAATGCCCTAGCCATATTGGGGAACTCGGTCAGTGGAATGCACCAAACACAGAGATGTCTGATCTACTTAGGGGCCATTGTACCCATGATGACATATGGAGCCCCAACCTGGTGGCACAACAAGAAATCCCACTCTCAGCTACTAACCCGAGTCCAAAACATAGCCTTACGATTCATCTCAGGAGCATTCTGAACCACCCCGCAAATCCTTCAGCTGCCTAGTACAGCTTCGCACTGGCCATGTGTTCATTGGACAATTCTACAAACACTTCCTACCAGAAGAGAACCCCAGTTGCACATGTGGAGAACCCGTAGAAACGAGAGAACACATACTTCTCGAATGTCCCAAGCACGAACACCACCGAAACTTGCTCCCAGATGATGAAGGTGAACTGATCCTTGCCGACCTCCTGGTGGACAAGAAAGGAATAGAGAGGGTAGCAGGATTTCTGTCAGCAAGTGGAGCATACGAGAAAGAGAGAAGGACAGAATAGACACACCCTGAGATATGACACTGCTGGAAGGCGGAACCCATCCCATTTTCGAAACTGACACCTAAAAACGGTCAACCCAACATGACAACTCAAAAGTGGAGCAGCATTTGGGCAACGCCTTATCAGAGAGATTAAGGACACCCGAATTGGACTTATTTCTTTATTTTCTCACCTTATTTTTGTGTATTTATCTCGACCCCTGCCCTTGGCGCTCTCACAAGCAGCCTACAGTTTGCAGGTTAAATATCCAGAATAAACAACAACATCCTGTATATACCTCTAGCTAGAACTGAAATGAATTTTCATTTTCTATGTCTGTTTTTTGTTTGGGCACATGACCTCCGGCGACCTCCAACGTCACAAACCATGGGGTGGATTTAGGTTTAGTGCACACACACACACCCTCACTTCAAGCCCTGACTACTACAGTACAGATGATGTCAAGTGATTGTCGCAAGAGTATTCAATGGTGACACTTATTTCTGCTTGCACAGATCAATGCTGCTTGGCTCTCACTCTCTGTTCCTTACTCTCACAACTGCAAGCTTTAGTGGACGTAGAAAATAACAAATCTGGATAGGTTCCGACATCTGCTCATCCTCTTTCGTCCGAGTGAACCCCTGACCATCTGGTGAGTCATCACGTACAGATATTCGGACGTACTTTCACAATTGCCATCATAAGTTGGAATGATTGAGTAGATCTACACTCTCTACTTTCCCATTTAAGTCTGGATCAATGGCCATCCCAGGCTGATGCTGGTACATCGAGGATCCTGGCGTGTCAGGTTCCAAACACAACAAACAGTTTGATATAAAAAAAGTTGCTCTTTCCTGGCATGCATGATTCCGGGATGAAAGTCATCGAGAACTGCTACTGTGGGTGGGAGGGCTTAAGGATACTTCTTTGCCCATTGGTCTTGGGATTAATCTGAATGCGACACAAATCCTCTTTTGGTTTCCAACTTTTGCTGGCCACAGGTTTCAGTGCAATTGGGCTGGGATGGGACAGGGGGTGGAACGAGGTACTTTTCGAATCTCATAAGTTTGTGGGTGACAGGGTCGCCCATGTGTTGGCGTTATTTAACACGATGATGCAAAGACTGTCACTTTTGACCCCATATCTCGTGAGTAGGGATCTTCATTAAATGCTCGCCCACACATACATCTAGCACTTCTATCTGCTACATCAATCTTTTTGTTACATTACTTATATGCAGCTGAGGATGAACATCAGGTGAAATGATTGAACTGGGAAAGGAAATATCGATCTTTGAGTAAGTTCGAAGTGGTAACGGGGTATTTGCTTCAGTCAAGCCTTTTAGTGTTTCAAATGGACAGGTATATTGATACAGAGTGAAAGCAAATCAAGGTGCCATGAAAAGAGCAAAATCGAAAAAGTCTTTGACTCATTTTGCTCGACCTGAGACTAAACGACACTGCAAGGAATGGCCATAGGTCTGTTGAAGTCTCCAACCTTTATCTATACCCACTGCACCCTAGGGAAAGGGGACCTCGTCCAAGGGAAGTCCAGAAAGATGGAAGGGCGACCTAGTGAAACTTTGCGATTCCCCTCTAACAGTGGATAGAACACGCAAAGGTAAAATGGGAAGATATTGCAACTGACCACGAACATTCTAAATGACTTGGCTAAGATCAACAACAATTGGAGCCATCTGCCAGCCTTGGAGGAGGAATCGAGTCCCATCTCTGCTGGACCGAGGGCTGTACAGATGGGTAGGATCAGATGGCACTTTATCACCATACCAAGGGCCTGGACATTCAGTACCAGAAAGGATGGTTGGGTGGTACTTCTCAGGAATAACGAGTTCAAATTTTCCATTGAAGAACATTGACAGCTTGCCGGGTGTTTTACTGGCTCCGAGCAGTGGAGCTCTTCCAGCAGCAGACGAATAAAATGGCTAATAGGAGGGCTAAAGCGGGAGCTCAGTCTCCATAAATGAAGAACTGAATTACTACGTTTAGTACTAACCTAAAGCGGGAGCTATAGTACAGAAGAGTACAGAGTAAGTAATGTAACAACTAACTAAAAGCAATGATACTAACCTCAGTCTCCGTAAATGAAGAACTGAGGATGATGATGATGATAAATCTATCTTAATACCCCGCAGCCTCGTGATGATGTGGCAGTGCGGCTATCCCGTGAAGAACTGAGGAGAAAAGGAAAGTAGAGTGAAAACAGTATATACAATTATATACATTGTGTCACGAGGCAAATACGGATGTAAGAGTGATCATGTGGTGTTGGTTGGTAAGTCACGGGTCGTTGTTACTCCAACAATGGCTGCTTCCAGATCCCCCGCTTTTTCTCCTTCTGCAAGAGAACATGAAATGGGCACTTGATCCAGGATTCATCCAAGTTATGCCCTGCACGCATTTTGGAATGATGTATATCTGCTGCTTCGCCTTCTGTCAAGGAAAGGGGGATACAGGATCAGGGATGCGATAAGAGCGGGTGAGGGGAGCAGCAGGATTCATGATCCAAAAATCGAAATCCGTCACACAATAACTCGCAATGAGCTCACCTGAACCTGTCAACCAGGTGAAAGCACTGAGGCCATCAAAAGCGCCGATATAACGTGCGGCCGGAGAAAATCCAAGCGTGCGACGGTGAGGAATAGCGATCACTGGGAATGCAGAGGACCTAGTAGAAGACTTGGAGGCTAAGATAGGAGGGTTGGAAGTTGAAGTGAAACTGTTGGAAGTAGGGGGTGCAAGGTGGTGCATGTGCGGGTCACCCGAAATGGATATGAGGGTCATGCTGTCGTACCAAGAACTATCAGTGTTCCGTGGAACCCGTACGATAAATAATCCATTATCTGATACTCGAGTTACAGCAGGAAGAGGATTGGTGGGAAGAGTACCGATATTAATGGAAGTCATATCGTGGCCAAGGATGGTGATGTTCCCCTCAACTCGGTGGCTGCCATGGACAAATTCGATCTAGACTGGATGGTTGGGTGGATCGAGCTGGAATCGGGAAATCGTACACTGATGGTCGATATCGGCAAGCTCGACGACACCACTACCAAAACCAAGAGCTACATGGCAACCATCAAGGGAGAGCGCTGCGCATGTCACAATACCATTACAAACATCACGGTCGTTGAATTGAGCATCATAAACACCCTGGCCTTCTTTGGCAAATTACCTAGCTTCGCCTCCATGACCATTCGAGCATCGAGTAAATCCTCACTCAATGGGATTTTGTGCCCAGAAAACTCGCCGGAAATGGTGAAGATCCGGACAGGGTCGGAGAGGTGGCCATACAGTTTGTGAAAAGGTGATGAGGATGGGGTGAAAGTCATCTCATCACTTCCTTAGGATATGTAGTATATTACATATATAAAGAGCAAAGTATGTTATCGTGACTTCCGCCTCTCTAGGGTACCAAAGGCCGTGTGAGGACTTGACCTGAATTAGAATCGACTTTGATTTACCATTTTACCTACGCGTTACATATACAATCGTCACAAACTGCGTGTTTTCAATGAAACAGTCTAATGTCCCATACATCCAAGTCAAAATCAAGTCGGACCAAGTCATCTCATCACTTCCTTAGGATATGTAGTATATTACATATATAAAGAGCACAGTATATTATCGTGACTTCCACCTCTCTAGGGTACCAAAGGCCGTGCGAGGACTTGACCTGAATTAGAATCGACTTTGATTTACCATTTTATCTACGCGTTACCTATACAATCGTCACAAACTGCATGTTTTCAATGAAACAGTCTAATGTCCCATACATCCAAGTCAAAAACAAAGCGGACCACCAAAATCAAGTCGGACCAAGTCATCTCATCACTTCCTTAGGATATGTATGAGTCTTGGGCCAAATGTGTCCGGTCCAATGCTCCATTACTCAAAGTCAAGTCAGTCAAACTCGCTACTGCCAATTATTGATTATGGTGTGCTGGAGTTTGGGTCAATATATATATATAGACTTTCTCTGCAAATGTTATGGACGTGAGTGAGTGGTGGTGTAGTGGGGATTTTAACAAAAGGATTTTGGCCTGACTTGGTTCAATGTTTGCCAGGGCAAGATTCTTTGTGAAAATGCGCAAAAATGGGGCTTGTATGGACTTGTAAAAATGAGGTTTCTATAGACGGTCCAGGTGAGGATTGTGGACAAAAAGCGAGAGGGTGTTTGTGATAATGCGTAAAATGGAGATGTTCTCATGATCCAGAATGGAGTGGATACATCCTAAGGACTCTGAGGAAGAGTCTCCTAGACTCCCTCTGCCCCCTATCCACAGTCTAGCATGGTCTCGGGTGTCCATTAGGTGCGCGTACCGTGATCTGGTTGGTATCTTCTCCAAGGCAAGACCAACCATGCAAAGCCCCAAAAACTCGAACAACTCGAACAACTCGCAAACTTTGCCCTCTATTTATGCTACCCAGTCTAGCCCGCAATGACCAGTTGGATCGAGATGTAGTCCAGGACCCAACCACCACACTCCCCCACATCAACAACAACAAGTCAACCTTGCACTACCAGGGCAGGTCGTTGTAAGGGGGCAAGGGATCTACCACCCTAACGAGAAAGAGAGGGGGCCACAGAGTTGGGAATGCTCAGGGGAGGTTCGGATGAGGAGGAGGGGGGAGGAGAAATGGTCCGGTGCTATGTGATAAAAATGATAAACTCGTAAATCTCACTGATAATCAAACTGATGGGAACTCTGTCCCTGCACGATGTCTTGAGCCTCTTTGGCTTTGTATTCGCCGCTCTGGGCGCTGGTAAACTTTGCTAGAACTTCATGTTCTTGTTGGGGAGCACCTCTCTCTGTTGGGGGAGTCCTCTTTGTAAATACAGGAAAGAGGGTAACTATAAATATGAAAAAAGTATGCATGGAAATCCGAATGATCCGACGGGTTTAGGACGGCAACAGATCCACAAAGAACAAATAAGAAAAAAGCAATATCAAAGAAATATTAACGTTGTTAAGGAAATAAAGAAACATGGCGATCGCCTCAACCGCTGAACCAAATACGTCACTCGTAACATCGTTCGACTTGTGTTGACAAGGGCTTTCCAACGATACCAAATTCGTCCGGATCGGTGGAGAATTGATGGAGATACAGAGGAAGCGGTGGAATATGCGGGTGATAGTTACCCAATTTGGAAACTGATGGTTGTGCGTGGTCAGGAATGGCTTGAAAAAATTGGAAAAAATATGGGAAACGTGGAAGGGGTATCTGGAACAGTGGTAGATGTGTTTCGGAAGTGGGGTGCTTGATGTGGGTGGTGGAATCGCGATAATCGGCTTGTTTGCGTGGTACCGGCTGTGTCATATCCCGGAATCCCGACCCCGTGCACTCCCACCACACCACACCTTCCTAACAACTTCACCATCCCCTACACCATGCCTCCCTCACTCCCCAAGTCACCCTTCCTCCTGATTGTCTCAGCTCCGGTCTGGTTGCAGCACACCGATCTTTGGCCACTCCCATCCCGGAACCTCGGTCCCGAGTCGGAACATTCGGAGACCCCGGATTTGCTCCGATACCCCGACGGACCTCCAACATCCCGTGACATGCCCTTAAACCTCTCCTCCACCCATTTCATTTATTTGAGTCACCTAACATCCTTCGGATACACAACTCCGCTTTTGGAGCTACCCACATCCTTTGGTGATCTCCCTCACGTTATCACTTATTAGTCACCTTCTATTCTTAGCACGACTACCTTCTTCCTTCCATTCAGTTGGCTAACCCCCTTTGTCCATTTGTCTTCCGCATTCATTTTCTGGCCTTCAACTCCGCCCTCCTTGGCCCGACACCTCGGTTCCCCGTTCTAATATCGTTCGGGACCTTTCGGTACCTTTCGGTGTTTTCCCATTTGTCGGTTCGGACTTTGCATCCCCCTTTATAAATACCCGTAGATGTTAGAGATGGGCGGAAACGGACGACTCCGGAGTGGAATCGGAGACTTAGCGTGGAGGGACCTTGGCCTCAGCGACTCAAGCGGAGCGCTGTGCCATTGCTGTTTGTCCATTTGGTCCTTAATTTCACAGTAGGTGAGCAGGAAGTCTCTTGGGGGCATTTCAGGTCGATTTCGGACTGAAACCAGACGAGTATGTACAAGCGCCGATATATATATAAGGAAGGGGCAAAAGCACAAGGAGAACAAAGGGTGACCGAATCGGAACGAAGACGTCCGAACGGGAACAAAGGGTTAGAGGGAGCGGAGCGGTACCGAAGGTCATAGGGCAAGACCTGTGATACATCCGAAAGGAGGTAGAGTGGGCGAGGCCCAGAGGGGCAGGAGGATGAGGGGAAGTGGGGGTGATGACTAACTGGCTAGAATAGAAAGAAGCAGTAGTCCAAATAGGGATGAGGGGGAATTGCGAGAAATACATTACAAACGGCGAGAGTGCCGGAGGCGGGGTTGGATGTCCGAGGAATATTGGCAATGGTGTTCACGTAGTATGAGGTCACCAATGCAATGGACTAAGACTGAGGTGGAGTCAAAGTCCGAGGTATGGACTATGACGGAGGCTCGGAGTAAGGTACGAACGGTGTCTGAGTGTGAAGTACGGAGCAGCGGTGGACGGTCGTAACTTGGCGGAAGGGTGGTGGAGGAGTGACGGAAGAAGGAGAGAGGGGACAGGTAAGGAAGAGTAGTCAGGTCCGAAGGTGGATATCGGAACGGACGGAGAAAGCGTAGGGGATGACGGGAGGGTGGAGGTGTGGTGAGGGGGGAGCGGAGTTGTAGGAAGGGTGGCGAGTAGGGCGATGTTCGGTCCGAGATGAGTATCGGAACGGACGGAGAAGGGGTCGGGTATGCACGGATATGACAGTAGATTAGAACCTGTAGTTCCTCAGTTCTAATCTCGACTAAAATGCCACCCAAAGTCCCTCTGAGTGAATTCCGCTCCCATTCTACAAGATACCTCAGACATAAGAAATACAAGGACTAACTGAGACGTCACAGAGGCACAGCGCTCCCTCCGAGTCGCTGAGGCCGTGTCCTTCTTAGAGCCTCTTGTACCATCCAGCAGAACCGGGCTCCCTGAGAAGCTTCGGTTCACTACTGGAGCCCTCGGACCCCTCTCTAGTTGAGCCCCACCTGCATTCGGACTCACGCATTTACCCCCGTTCCTTCATGGGTTTTTGACAGGCTGTGCCCGCCTACATCGTCACCCTCTTTATCAATCCGTATATCTGTGGATACGTAATCGTCATAGTGGACATCCTCGTCTGACAAGGATTCATAGTATCATGACAGGGTGTCAGCCACTTTGTTTGTGTGGCCCTGTACATACACTATGTCACAATTGAAACTGTGAAAGAAATTTTGCCAACGAATGTGATGTGGTGCAGTGTGATTCTTCTCTTTGAAGTAAGTAAGCGCCTTGTGGTCAGTGACCACAGTGAATTTCCGCCCACCAGTCAGCTCGTTGAGCCATTTGGTGAGCGCTTCCAGCTCATAGGCGAAATACACCCATTGAGTCGGGGTGAATTTCTTCGACATAAACGCAGCAGGGTTAGAGGTTTGCCATTCTGCACCCTGTGCGAGCATGGCCCCGACGCCAGTGGGGCAGGCGTCAGTGATCACCCAGACATGGTACTTGTCTCGGTCTTCTGAACCAATTGAATTTGAATCTGGTATATCCCAGATTATTGTTAGAACCGGGCGGATGCAGACAACTCCGGAGTGGAATCAGAGACTTAGCGTGGAGGGACCTTGGCCTCAGCGACTCAAGCGGAGTGCTGTGCCATTGCTGTTTGTCCATTTGGTCCTTAATTTCACAGTAGGTGAGCAGGAAGTCTCTAGGGGGCATTTCAGGTCGATTTCGGACTGAACCAAAACGAGTATGTACAAGCACCGATATATATAATGGAGGGGGAAAAAGCACAAGGAAACAAAGGGAAACCGAATCGGAATGAAGACGTCCGAATGGGAACAAAGGGTAAAAGAAGTGGAGCGGTACCGAAGGTCATAAGGCAGGACCTGTGATATGTCCGAAAGGAGGTAGGGGGGGCAAGGCCCAGAGGGGCAGGAGGATGGGGAGAAGTGGGGGTGATGACTAACTGGCTAGAATGGGAAGAAGCAGTAGTCCAAATAGGGATGAGGGGAAAACGCGAGAGATACATTACAAGCGGCGAAAGTGCCGAAGGCGATCCGTGAAGCTCAGAGGTTGCGGAGCTTACAGAGGTTACGGAGGCGGGGTTGAAAGTCCGAGGAATATTGGCAATGGTGTTTACATAGTATGAGGTCACCAATGCAATGGACTAAGACCGAGGTGGAGTCAAAGTCTGAGGTAGGGACTATGATGGAGGCTCGGAGCAAAGGTACGAA